GGTTTTATGCAACACGTTAGTTGGTGGGACAGAGTTAGTCATTACTAATAATTAAATAGGAAATATTGGATTTAGTGTAATATATGATTAAGTTTTTTTTTTTACTATGATCTGTGGTGGATATGTTAGGATTTATTAATTTTTTTAGGATATTTTCGTCTTGTTTATAAGTAGAATGCATTTGTTGGTGATATAAAAGATTAATATGTTTGGGATTAGTCGAAGAAGTCTTATATTCTATTTGTTTTGAGTTAAAATTTCTGATAGAATATCTGATTTGTTCTTCGACAATATCATTAGGGAAGTTATTATTAATAGGAATTTGTTTCATATTTTTTAGTTCACTGTAGAAAATCCTGTTTTGAGGATGAATTAATTTTGGCACGGTTTATTAGGTTTTTATAACTGCTATTTTATAGTAATTGGGACATTCAGTCTTATAGTTAAGGATGAACGAATTTATACGGGTAGGTTTTTTCTATGGGAATAGAGTGAATTTATTGTTTGTCCTTATCAATACATCTAAAAATAAATTTTATAGCTATTATTATGTTCGTTTATAAATTTAAGGAAATAATTAATTTGGGATTGTTTTTGGAGTTGATGTATTTTTTCTGTATTATTGACTAATATAACTATATCATCGACGGATCTTAGGTAAATGAAGATTTTTTTAAAATTGTCATATATTTTTTCGAGATTAGATATATAGAAATTGCTGAGCGTCGGGCCCAAAATGAACCAATAGAGACGCCATCCCCATTATATATATATATATATATATATATATATATATATATATATATATATATATATATATTTTTTGTTACCGTAGAATGAGACTTCGGTAATGCATATACAGTGAGGTGAAACAAGTATTTGGACAGTAAAAAATGGATTTAGAATCATATATTGAAAGAAAAGCATTGTCTAAAACTCACAATATATTCGTAAAACAATTATAAATGCAAATAAACAGAAAAAAAATCAATTATCTGACACGTATATATATTTTATATACAAATTATTAAAACAGGTAGTGAAAAAAGTATATGGACATTTACGAAATTATGTTTAAAATTAATATTTTGAGTATATTTCATGTTCGAATGTGTTAGAATTTTATGGAATAGTCTAGAACGTGCATTACTTAAAGGTGTTAGCTATGTTGACGGTCAGTTCATCCCAAGACGTCGCACTAACAGTACTGCAGGATGCCAAAGCAAAGAGAGCTGTCGAAAGATCTTAAAGATCGAATTATTTCTGCACATAAAGAAAAGAAAAAGCTATCGTAAGATTTCTAAAGACCTATGTTTACCTGTGAGCACTGTTGGGTACATAATTAAGAAATGGAAAGCCTTCGGTAATCATGAAAATATGCAAGAACAGGTGCACCGCGCAAAATATCACAAACATATTCACGGAAAATAGTACGGCGAGTAAAAAATGAGCCTTTTGTGACTCGGAGAGAACTTCAAAAAGATCTCAGCAATGCAGGAACTCACGTATGCAAGAGAACCATAAGTTCTGAACTTCACCGACAACAATTAAAATCTCTCTCTCCTAGCAAAATCCCATTGCTAAAAAAACGTCATTTAAAATCCAGACTTGAATTTGCCAAAACAAATTTACAAAAGCATGATGACTATTATAAGCAAATTTTATGGTGTGATGAAAGCAAGATTGAACTTTATGGCCACAAGTATGTTACCCATACTTGGAGAAAGAATGGAACAGCCTTCAGTCAAAAGAACACCATCCGTACTGTGAAGCACGGAGGCGGTAGCATTATGGTTTGGGGATGCCTTTGCATATAATGGTACGGGACAACTGAAAATTATTGAGGGTACAATGAATGCAGCCAAATATATTCAGATTTTAGAAGATTGCTTGCAGTCATCAGTTGAGAAATTAGAACTTAGACCAGATTGGGTTTTTCAACAGGACAATGATGCGAAACATACAGCACGTGCATGGCTTCAAAACAATAACATTAACGTGTTGACATGGCCCAGCCAATCGGCGGACATGAATCCAATAGAGAATCTTTGGGGAACACCGAAGAATCAGATTCATGAAAGCCGACCAAAGAACCTCAGTGAATTGAAAGTTTTTGCAGAAGAAGAGTGGGCTAAAATTCCCACCAAACCATGTCAGGCGCTTGTAGACAGCTACAGAAACAGACTTAGAGCTGTGGTTGCAAATGAAGGAGGACCAACTAAATATTAAACACATTTAAAGCATAATTTATATTCTGTCCAAATACTATTTTCACTACCTGTTTTAATAATTTGTATATAAAATATATGTGTCAAATAATTTATTTTTGCTGTTTATTTGCATTTATAATTGTTTTACGAATATATTGTGAGCTTTAGACAATGCTTTTCCTCCAATATATGATTTCAATATCTGATTCTAAATCCATTTTTTCTACTGTCCAAATACTTGCTTCACCTCACTGTATGTATATATATATATATATATATATATATATATATATATGTATATATATATGTGTGTGTGTGTATGTGTGTGTGCGTGTTAAAGAAGAAAAACCTTAAATATTCATTTCAATTATAATTTATTTCGTGAATATCGAAATATTCATCTCTTCAGATCGAAATATCCTTAATAAATAGGGTCAATGCACCGGACGGATATATTAGATTGATAGGAGGGAGAGAAAGGAAGAGAGAAGAGATGAGATGAGATAGAGGGGAGTTATGGAAAAGAAATGCTTAAGCAAGTAATGTCTTGGTAGTAGTAAGCTTAAACGGGCTGGCAACAATCTTATTACTTCAAACGTTATATATATATATATATATATATATATATATATATATATATATATACAAAATTCCCCAGAAAAGTGACTCCCAATTTATTTATTGCCTATATCTCTTCTCATTGATAAAGGACACAGGCGTGTCTGAAAATTCCAACTTTAAAATATTTCCCTTCGTGCTTTGGTTCAGTCAAAAGGTCTCTCTATATAAAATAGTTATCATTAGTTTTATTTGCAATATTTTTTATCATTTTGTTATCTTATTATTGCTCGGATTTCATTAACCGGTCTGTTATATATATATATATATATATATATATATATATATATATATATATATATATCAGTTTAGATATATATATATATATATATATATATATATATATATATATATATATATATATATATATATATATATATATATATATATATATAAAATAAAAAAGTTAAGACATAAAATATTCTACTTTTTACAAATTCGATCATTATTTACAAATTGGATCATTATGAAAATTACAGTAAATTCGAACATATTCTTACGGACTTGTTCTACATTCTGACAAATTCATTTATAGAAGAAAACACGGGTGGAGAAAATTAAGGAACAAAAACTGATTATGGAATTTATTATTATTATTATTATTTTTATTACTTTTAATATGCAAAAGTTTATGGAATCTTCTTAAAAAACAATTAAATACTGAATATGCTGGAGAAAATCATTTTTCCCTTTTCCAATACAAAATGGGTAAAAGCTTTGTGCACGTCATATAAATTTTTCGGCAATTTTACTGTTTTTGCTGCTGCAATTTTAGGCATGCTCTCACCGTATTGACTATTTGTAAAAGAAATAACATTTGTAGAAATCGATGTACACATGGAAATGTCATATTGCTTCATTTTTCAAGAGAGAAATCTTTCTAATTATAATTCAAAATAGACAGTGGATGTTGTTTTAGAATATTTTGAAATAAAATCAAATACAATCTAGAAAGATATTAACGTCATGATTCAGGAGAACTAAAGAAACATGATAAAACTCTTTCAAAACTTTTACGTTTTGTCCCCAAGAGGAGAATATAAAACAACAACATATTTGCACACGTACTCAATCAAGTATTATTATATCGTGACATATGTTTTGTTTTCTTTACTTGTTTTTCTTCTTAGTACAATCTGAATCCAGGCATATAAAGACAATTATCTATTTGTGCATGGATTCTCTTCGAACATTACGTTTTTTGTATGGCTTTGTCGATGGAGAAGTCCTGTGATCTTGCTTAGGCGGCTCAAAAACCACTAAAGACAAAGGTTGTCGGTTTATTCATCTTTATCTATGCGCTGTGCCCCTTCAGGGCGTGTGTGTTCATTGTCCTCAACAACTTCCTGTCTCTTGTAGCTCTAAGCAAGTTTTGACTCTTTACGACCCCCCCTTGTTTCCGCTCTTACATCGATTGACACAAACATATTAGGTTAGGTTACGTAAGTTACTGTCATATCATATACCTATTCTATTGTAATGGACTCTCCCACAGATAATAAGTAGTAGTAGCAGCCGCCAGTTCGGCTCAGTGTAGTTGAACAGTCTCTGACTGCGCGCGCCTTCTGTCGAACTCTCTACGTTAGCAGAGAGGAACCCGGATGAGTCTTTGCCGAAGGGCGGGGTTTCGTCCGGGGAGGTAGACAGGGCCTGAACCCGTCTAGGCGCGTTCAAAGGCTATATTTTTGGCCGAGTCTACGGGCTCGGGGATACCCACATTAAAACCGGCCTTGTGCCATATTCGGTCCTCGTGGGTGGAACGATAAATACTCAGTGGTGTTGAGCAAATCAGACGATATCGGACATTGAAGTACCAACCATCACAACTAGATTGCTCCGTCATTAACTCTTATTTTCCAAGTTCCTAACGTTTTGTACGTCGAACCTAATTTAGGACGACTTATTGAAATACAAGCCTCCACTGTGAAAACTACTCCACAACAGTTACTCTCTGTTTTCTCCGTTTTCTCTACTTCCCATATAACGCCTTGTGAGCATTAAGTATTCCAAGCCGTCCTTCCTCATTACGCGTGCAATACATTTCAACGCTCGCTTTCGGACCTCTTTTTTCTTAGAGCGTTCTCTTTGCTCACATGTCCAGTCCATGCCATTCTCAGCATCCGTCTGTAGAAGTAAATCTCTGTCACTTCGTGTCTCTTCATCATTAGGAAGAGAACGTCTTTCTTTCTGTCTTTTTCACTTTTTCTTTTTTCTTTTTCTTTGTTTTTTTCTTTTTTTTCTCTTACTCACATTCTTTTTTCCCTTTCTTCTTCTTCACTTTTTCATTCTTTTTCATTTTCTTCCTTTTTCTCTTTTTCTTTCTTTCTTTTTCATTTTCTCTCTCTTTTTCATTTTCTTTCTTTCTTTTTTCTCTTTCCTTTTGCTTTTCATTTTCTCTTTCTTTTTCATTTTCTTTCTTTCTTTTTCCTTTTCTCTTTCTTTCTTTTTCATTTTCTCTTTCTTTTTTCATTTTTACTTTCTTGTTCATTTTAGCTTTCGTTTCTTTCTTTCACAAGAGTTTACTACTCTTTTTTTTTTGTTTCGAATGAAATATTCCTCTGTTGCTTAGATTCTGTAAAAATGTCCATTTTAGTATACCGATGCACCTTCAGATCTCTGTATCATATCTCCCGTTGTGTATTTTTATTCTACTACAGTTCTCTCTTTCTTTTTCCTCTTTCCTTCTTATCTTTCTTTTTTCTCTTTTTCTTTCTCTTTTTTCTTCTCTTTTTCTGTATCTGCTTGATTTTGATGTCTCCAACATAAAGCCCAAACCTTTGATTACCTCCCTTGATTACGGCCATCGATTCTGTCTTCTTACAGGTAATAACTAGTCGTTTGATAAATCATTCCAAAACAGAATATGTGATCTGGAATTCAATGAATTCATTGACGACACCTACCATGAAGCAAATCATTAAAAAATCAGGCTGTGGAATTGGTAAATACTAAACGCTTGAAAAACCTAGATGTATCGATCCGTTATTACAAAGTTGGTATGCTTGATTAAGTCTTTCTCGAGGACAAAACGAGTTACGCAGAATTTTCCCATTTTATCATTTGCGTAATAAATTTCATATAGCGGAGAACGAAATTTAACATAGGATAGGCTGTGCTTGGGGGTAGTTTCGCACAACACCGTTAATTCTTCAAAACTAAAACATTATCCTGAAAACTCGAATTGTCTTCTTAAACAGCCTCATGAGATCTAGACTTTCATGTGGATGTCATGCATGGCGTTAAACTCGTTCATAAATATCTAAACTGTTAGCCGTATGCAAATGCAAACACAAACGTTGTTTTGAGTGAATGAAGTTTGTAGGTTTTATTGAGGACCATCCTTCATTGAACCTCATGAGCTGGCGCTTCAGAATCACATTCCCAAAACTGCCAAATAGCAGAAGAAAAACTAGAATGAATAGTGCATGTGACTCGAGGAGAAAATGTTGAGATCTTGAAGCTATATGGATTGTTGTAATTCCGAACAATTTCAAACAAAAGATTAGGAAGGAATTTCATATGAGTATTGGAAATAGAGACAACAAGTGTACTTGGCAAACCTATTTTCCTGGAAAATTATTTTAAGTGTGTGGCAGCATAACTATGGACGATAATGGGTATGTCCCCATTCACATAAATACAGTAGTAAATACTGTATGTTGGTCTGCAGTCGGAGATTCGTTTCCAGCTGGTCAAACTCTCTGTCTCTGGGCAGAGTCTCGTTTCGGGAGACAGCTACTCGACCCCATTTTATACGGGGTCTACGGGGAATTTTTGACCGAGCTTACGAGCTCAGATAACCCACATTAAATTCGGTTTTGTACCACATCTGGCTGCGTGGGGCGGCTGGTAGATATCCTGCAGTTGGAGATTCATTGTGGAATTCACTTGACTCCCTTCTAGCAGTTGACTACTACTTCTACGCGCCGCTGGCGAATCTTATATGTGTTGTTCTTGTCCTAAGTATTATCGTCCATTACCAACCTTCGTTTGATTATTCTATTGAGTAACGTTTTCTTGGTTACAAAAACTGAAGAATTTTATAAATTTCAAGCTAAATTAGCAATAGCTGCTCGGTTGAAGAATGCCGAATGTTTCCTTATAAGTAAACGGGTAATATTACCATTACCATTCTTCTCGCTATTCGTTGTTACTTTCTATCAGACTTTTAATAGCTGTCCTTCTGAGTGTGCCAACAGTAGTGTCGTTTTCTAAAATTTCGACAGCAGCCTTTGGTAATTGCAGGGTGTGATTGAAAAATTATCGTCTAAATTACGCAAAAATGAAAATAACACTGACATCTCATTGCGACAGATATATTTACCAAAATCTCACAACAATATCTAGAAATACTAAAGTGTAAATTTATTCAATAAAATCACCATTGGTTTCAATCTCCTGAAATTTTTCTGGACAGTCTGTTTTGTTTAAATTGATCAGTGCTGTCATAATCCTTGCCGTCACTTCATCTTTGGTGCTACAAGGAGTTTTGTTGGTCTCTCGCTCAACAGCGCCCCACACATAATAATCAAGGGGGTGCAGTCTGGGGAGCTAGGTGGCCAGATGATGTGGTCGCAGAAATTGGTCTTCCAGTAGCTGTCCTTTGGATCCAGGGAATCATTACCTCCTCAAGGCAGTTGATGTAGGCCTTCGTGTTGAGTCTGAGGTCCTCACCAATAAATTTAGGAGTTCTTTCCTTATCAGAACGCTCAGAATGAGTTTGCAGAGCTGCCGTACCTTCTTAATCACCATTAGATTCATCCAACTCTTTCCGAATCTTCTATACTGTCCCCAAACACTCTAAAATGTTCGTATTGGAGTTTCCGGTGCGAATGCTAAGTAGTACAGCATGCCGTTTCTAAATTTCAAGCTGAGTGAATTCCGTCATAGTGTTCTTTTTTCTCACAGACGCTACGCAACAGACCCTACAACACTGTCGACAAAATCAAAAACAAGCAACGCGCATGCGCGAAATAAAAATGGCAACAATTTACCCATCGCACCCTGTATATTTAGCTAGTTGAAACCGGTACAGTCGTGACTGTCATGCGATATGTATTTGAAACCAGCGAAAGCGATGCAGAACTCGGTTTTAGCCCCAAACACTCACGTAGAAACACATTCTTAAGATAACTTTTTGAAAACATCAGTAATAGTTCTCATAGATTGATAGATGCATGGAAACTAGATACAATGTTTTGAGAACATTAAGTACGTTGCCTCACGCGTGTTTGAGTGAATAAATAATTTTTTCATCTCTTAATATTTCTTAATATTGTAAAACGTTCGTCACGACTGCATGCGTTTTTTTCTAATTAATATATTATACAAACACTGCTGGTAAAATATGAAATTATATATATATATATATATATATATATATATATATATATATATATATATATATAATGATAATATTTGGTAATACGTATGGATAATTCCAAAGAGGATATAAATCCAGAGAGAGAGAGCTCTATGTCAAAAAACAGAGAAAATAATAATTATTTATGAAAACGAAGACTCACAAGACCATTGTGAGATTTATTTCATTAGAAACGAAAAGTTCGATTTCAAATCTTCAGACCAAATCCATTACACACAAATTAATAGTTAAATATTTTACCAGGTTCAAAGAAAGATATAAAAATAATTTATGCAAATTTAAAAAGGAGGCAGAGACCAATATGAAAAGGTATGTATTCAGATGGGCCTAGGGTCATGAAAAAAGAAAGGGATTTTTTCAAATGTTGTTTGAAAAGGTATTTTTAGTTTGTAGACATGCTGACCTAATTTTCGGAGTAGCGCAATGAAGAAGAACGATATCTTTAGATGATCAATGAAGAAAGAAAAGAGAGAAATATATATATATATATATATATATATATATATATATATATATATATATATATATTACGTGCCACAAGGTCCCCAAACGACCCTCCGCAGGTTTTGAATTCAGGGTTGTCCTTCTCCATGACCAGTTACCATCCAAGGCTATAGAACCCAGTCTGTCCTGTTATTTTACCCACAGCTGGAGGGAGAAGAAGAGGATTCACACCTTTTCTTAAGTGAATGCAATGGATTCGACTGGAATTCGACTGGAATTCGAACTCGGCTCTCCGATTCCTCAAACCAAGCCACTATGCATTACCTCACAGTGCCTCCTGTCCTTGTGACACGTAGTGCACCAGGTCTCTGTATTCGGCCCTTCATAAAGTGTGGATGGACCTGCACAAAACCTTCACCACTATAATCAAATCTGTGCTGTTTTCGGGCTATCGGTTTCCTAAGAACTGATCTGCTTGACCCTCATACGTCGAATTCGACGGGAGAGTCGAGTATATATATATATATATATATATATATATATATATATATATGTATATAATATATAATGTGTGTGTGTGTGTGTGTGTGTGTGTATTTAGGCAGAAAATTCTCTTTTAGGCACGTTTGATTGAATAAATTACAGACATTATGTCTGTTGATTTTTAGTAAAATCCGTTCATACTCACGAATAACCTTCCGTGTATTGATGCTAAAGGATGAGAGAAATGTGCTATGCCTGTTTAAATTTCTTTTATTTTCATTTACCAAGTACTTTCGATCTTCTTTCAAGATCATCTTCAGGCGTGCAAGCAGTACAAAACTATATGTTGTTCATTAGCATAAGTATTTATACAAAGATGTACGTTGTTATCGATTACCGTAATTTTTCATTATGCTTTTAATTGCAAAACGGTTGACAATGTGCCGAGCGTTCATTAGAGCATGAAAAAATTTCATATATATATATATATATATATATATATATATATATATATATATATATATATGTGTGTGTGTGTGTTGGGGGAGGGTGTATGGGTGTTTCGTTGAATATGACAGACGAGGACAATTTGTTTTATTTTTTACTGAATTTTTCTAGAATTCTTAAATTGTTCAGGTTGGTGGCGGTTAAGCGTGTCTAAATATTGTACGTAGTGTCTGTTGTCCCAAGCGCTTTCACCTAAATCTTTAGCCATTCTGAACGGGTTTGTTGCCAATTGTTGTTTTCGTTTTTAATGATGGCCTTTAAGATGTAGTTCGGCGATACCATTTATTCAGAACAACCCCCGAACGTGGCTAGAATTCAAGTTAGCATTTGAAAAAAAAACAACAAAAAACTTACGCTCATTATTTTTAAAAATAAATAATTAAAAATAGTAAGACTCAAACTGCATATTAAACAAAACATGTTTGAAAGAAAGGTTACGACCCAAATGTACATTATATATATATATATATATATATATATATATATATATGTATCTAAAGAAATATAGTCCTAAGATGTGCTATATTTATGGGATAAAGTGCTCAATATCAGAGATAGAGCGTGTTTAAATATAAAAGTGAACATAAAGTCAACACTTAGAGGCGACAGGCTGTTTTTCATGCTAGATGCAATCGCCAGGCCACGAGTGCTTATATAGTGGCCTGACAATTGCATCTCGCATGAAACAGACTGTCGCCTCTATAGTTGACTTCTATGTTCACTATATATATATATATATATATATATATATATATATATATATAAGTGAACATAGAGGACTGTATATTGTTTATAAATAATCTCTGTATCAAGGGAGTAACACTGTACAGTATATAAAGCTAATGTTTAATAATATTTGGATATAATTTAAAAAAATAAAAAGCGTAGATAGAGATGTTAGAAGGTGAGAAAAATATTTAAAGGAAAGAGAAACGCTAGCTTTATTATGCCATGTGATTGTCGAATTCTCCAAACCATCTTTCCGCTTTATGTGTCTCCATGATATCAACGTTTTCTTTCTTATTCTAGATATCAATTTCCTCAGAACGCCGATTGCGTTTTCTGCGCCAAAATTCATTTTATATTATGAATCGGACTCCTGAGAGGATGTTTCCCCGATCGCAACAACCTTACCCTCTTCAATTCGAGGGCCAAAGGCTTATATATATTCTTCATATTCCCATAATATGAATCTCTTGCTCTCTCACTTTACACCCTTACAACAACAACATTTAGCAAAGCTCTATCTTGAGCGGCTCTTTAGCAAATTTTTATTCGAAAAATAGTAAAGAAATAAAAGAAATTAGATTAAAATTTTTAGCAAGTTTTATTTTATCTTGAATCTTGTTTTAATTTCAGTTTTTTAAAATTAATTTTTTTTCTTTTCATAGATGTCGTCGAGAGCATATAATAATGGCAGAGGAAACAAATCAAGCAGCTAACAAGCGTACTCTTTGGCGAACAGGTGTTGTCGGTCATCCCGATTACAGACCGCCAACCTCGCCGAAACCAACTTCAGATGCCGGAAAGAAAACGCTATTCCCCGTGAAAATAAGATGTTCACGAAATTTCACGCTTCGTAAGAAAGCGCCGAATTCTCACCTCCCTACATCGCCGGGAATCCAGTTGCAGAGCTTTTCAAAACTACAGTTATCAGACAGTGGGTCACCCGTCAAAGGTCGCAGCATTTCTACCTCGGCCTATCATTCAAGCCAAGGTTCGTTAAATCTAACACAAAGTGAATCACAGAAATACGTGCCGAACAACCGGGAAGAGAAGAGGAGGCCCGTCATCGGAAGGCCACGCTCCTGCGCTGCCGATATTGACGTGTCTGTGGCGACCAAGCGGCGGGATTTTGCTGAGAGTTCTTCGTGGAAGGAGCGCACATTTGATAATGGTGCCGAGACCCGTCGGGAAGATTCGGAGGATGAAAAAGAACGAGAAAGGGAAGCGTCATTAGATTTAATCCGCGAGTCATTGAGCACTGCGTTCGATCCGAACCGCAGACAGATGTCGGATGATCAGGTCTTTGACGCGGGAAACGAAGAAGCGGTCCCCGGAGAAGTCAGTAACCAAACGTCGTTTGAAAGCGCAGAATCAGTTCCCGCCGCTCAAATTAGCGGCAATGTCGCTGGCGCCGTAGCTGAAAGTGTAGTTGACACAGGCTCTGATACAGGGCAGCCTGTTGTGAGACCTCGTATCAGCAGAGGCACGTTTGGTGCCGTACGGGCTGTGTCAGCAGTTTACGACTCGTTACCTTCAAGCCCTCTTTTTAATCCGGGCGAGACGTGGCGTTACCGAGACGCATCCACCCAGTGCCAGGAAGAAGAGACAATTGTTGTACCTAATCGCGAAGGGGTTGAAAAGAAGTCGGAGCAGCGTCGTCGTAAGTACGGAAGGGCATTTCGACAGAAACGAGCGGCTACAATTGGCGGTAATTCTGAGCAATCGACAGGAGAAAGGAGGCGGAAACCTTTGGCTTTTTTTCGCTCACAGTCGGAAAGTGGTTCAGCAGAACAGGTCCCTCATAGCTTATCTTTTCGGCATTTCAGAGAGAAAAAAAGGAATTACCTAACTTTCCCGGATTACATAATTGCAAGCATGACCCTGTTACCGGACTATGTCAGCCTTATGGAAGATAATAGAAGGTAAGTCGAACTGTCTTTCAGTAGTTTTAGTTATCGATCATAGATTGCTCAGAGCCGGTTTATGGGCCATCGATCAGACGTGCAGACGTGCAAACCAGGGTCTCTCAAAAAGGGCGATATCGCCCACCGGTGGTCGAGTTCAACTGTTGGGTGGGCGATGAGCAAATGTTCAGAAAATGGCCGGCGATTGGGAATTTTGGTAGATGATATAAGAGTCTGAGTATTAAAACAAAAACAAATAATGGAACAAGAGACTAATTAAGAATAACTGGGTTACACTCCAAAATAAGATATACACCCTTCTGCAAATTAATTGAAACAAAATAAATAATTCCGTTATTGTTTACATTTTTTCATATTTTCCCAATGAAACATGATTCAGTGCACATGTTTGTACTTCGTATGTCCAGTCCACGAAGTCTTTCTTTGCAGATTGACTACAGATTCTCCATTTGAGATCATTTGAAATCATGAGAGTTTCCGAGCCAGTCGATAGTACTTTGATTTGATCACTGGTAAGGCTTGCCATTGTGTTCGTGCAGTGCTACAATTTTCGTACGTTCCAAGAGTAACGTCCATGGCCGTCGGACAACTAATCGACAATCGAGACAGTATTGTCTGGGCGTGATGCAATCACGGATGACGCAATAGTTTTCAAGGCCAAACAAATTCCATCATTCACACCGAAAATAGATTCATATTACTGCACACCACTGCAAATGATCTAATCTGAGTAAAAAATAAAAATCGATTACACCCTGTAACTCCAGTGGGTCCAAAACTAACCGTATGTTGAAAGAAAGGAAACTAAATCGGTTGTTTCGATTAATTTGGACAAGGGTGTAATTATCTCCGCAGTTAACGAGGATATTTGGTATTTTCTATAGTATTGTGAGGGGTTATTAACATTTAAATGTTTCTTCAGACGAAATGAAATATTTCAGTAAGGGAAGACCAAAAATAAAAATAATATTCACTTAATTATTTTTTTTCTTTTTGCCAGTAGTATGTATTCCCTTTAATTTTATAATTATGAACAAAAATCATCTAATATTTTGTCAACGCTAACCCTAACCTTAATTACATGCTTAAATACACAATTATGTTTCCGTGAAATGTTCTGCTGAAATGGAAAGGCCACAGAGTTTAACACTAAGTGGCCACAACCTGTTTCAAACTTGAACGCAATTGTTTGCTTTATATGAACGCAGTAATTTCCTCGTTTATTTTCATAACATTCCAGTTGATATATTCTTCGACCATAATCGCATTTCTGTTGTGTTCTGAAATGTTTATCTGTTTCTCCTATACAAGTCTCATTCGATGCGACCGCAACGGAATCACATTTACTTTGTCAAAAGAGCAAATGCAGGAAGTAACAGCACATGGGAACTGCTAACAAAAAAAAAAAAAAAAAAAAAAAAAAAAAAAACATACTTAGGCAGTTTCATAAGAAGTCTCTAAAATAGCTAAGAAAATTCATCAGTTTCACCAGTAGGTCACAGGTTCTTTGCATAAGCCAAGGTGAAGCAATTTCACGGAATTAGTCTGAATGAAAGAAAACGCAATGCTATTAATTAAAAACCTACGACTATATATATTTCTTTTTAAAATGTAACATTGAAAAATGTTATTCTGTAGTTTGCAACGACATTCAGTAATTTGATGAAAACAAAACAGAATTTATAAAACTGAATTATTAATGTAACTGTTATTTTTATCCAAATCCATCCGGAAATGATTGATATAAGTGACAAATACCTGTTATATTCTTGTAGATAGGATGCTAGTGAATACTTGTAAGATCTGCCATAGGTTTAGGGAAAGAGTAACTTCCATATGAATTGCTACCAAGCAAATTATATTTACTTAAAACATCTATCTATCTATCTATCTATCTATCTATCTATCTATCTATCTATCTATCTAACTAATGAACTATTGTCAATTTATTTTTCATATCGTTTTTCTCTTTATATTAATCTCAAAGTATTCTGTTTTTAAACTTATCTCAGTTCATATGTATCTATCTATCTATCTATCTATCTATCTATCTATCTATCTATCTCTCTCTCTCTCTCTCTCTCTCTCTATATATATATATATATATATATATATATATATATGTATGTATTTTAAAATGTGTGTATTTAGGCAGCAAATTCTCTTCTAGGCATGTCTCATTGAATAAATTACAGACATTATGTCTGCTAATTTTTAACAAAATCTGTTCATACTCACGAATAACCTTCCGTGTATTGATGTTAAAGGATGAGAGAAATACTTGTACTAATGTACAGCATAGAGTTTTGTACTACTTGCACCCCTGAAGATGATCTTGAATGAATATCGAAAGTACTTGGGAAATGAAAATAAAAGAAATTTAAACAGCTATAACACATTTCTATCATCCTTTAACATCAATCCACGGAAGGTTATTTGTGAGTATGAACGGATTTTGTTAAAAGTTAGCAGACATAATGTCTGTAATTTATTCAATCAGACATAATTTCTGTAATATATATATATATATATATACCTGTCCCACTTTGTTTATATCTATCTATCGTTTATATTTAAGGTGGTGTTGCCTAGACTTTTTTCAGGAGTCGTTACTAATCTTTTTTGTAAGAAGTATTATATACAAACCCCTATTTTGGGGGGGTTAACAGTCTTTGTATTTGATATAATGAAATATGCATACACCTGAGTTCCCCCTCACTGAAATATGATTGGCTGGTGTTCGTCATAAATACAGACGGACGTGTAGGTACGAGAGAGATTTAGTCTATGACGACGCCCATTGGACTACGCCATTGGCTATCCTATTGGTCTACACCTATTACCTGCGAGTACAACGAGTACCGGTCGATTACTGCTACCGTGTACTACTTGGTAGCCAACCCCACTCCGATCAAATATATCCCTTTTCGGGACATATCAGTATTTTAGGAGGTGTTATGTATCCTTTTTAAGAAGGTTTAGTAATAATTTTGTTTATCATACGTTACTAGTCTTTATATTTTTTTTAATGAGGCGTTACGCATCTTCATCTTGTTTTTAGTGGCGTTACCAAACATTTCTTTGGAGGGTTATTCCTCATTTGCAAATTCCCCCTATACGACTTTTTTTTTTTAAAAAAAATAATATAAATAAGGAATGAGGATGGCTTCTCCCAGCATACGTAGAATAAGGGATCTTAATTGTGACGATCAGAACTGGTGGAACTTAGTAATGTAGGTAGTCAGAACATTTGCTATGGAAATAGCGATAGAGCAGCAAGCGGCTTGCGACGTTTCATCTGTGGGAGGCGGGTTTCAGACGCTTTTGAACTCTATCAAGCCAGGAAAGTGAACATTGTGCATCTCCAACCCAGTGGAACAAGCGTAAACAATATAAGGGGATGTGTCTTATCACGAGTTTCAAAATGATTGCTTGATCCCGTTCTGATAAAGCGTTCAGCTGTACTGCCCACTTGCACATCTTAAGGTGGCTTAGTTTATAACGTCATTGGGTCGCTTTTGATCCCATTAGCAGACTGTGCTGCAAGGGGGAAAAAAGCTATGAAAAGCGTTATTATTTTAGAGATATTAAAAAATTTCAAGTCAACATGTCTTAACTAGCAGATGCTGATGTTCGAATAAAAACTGAAACACCTATAGGGGAAGCGTTCTAATAACCGTACAAATCATGCCTTCCAGCTTAACGACATAGACACAGGTGCACGCGAGAGAAAAGAACAAAAAAAGTGATAGCTCGATGGAACGATATTAAAGAGTCGGTGCACAACTGCGACGTACAGGAAAAAAATGCGATTGGTAGTGAGAGAGAGAGAGAGAGAGAGAGAAAGACAGAGAGACAGAGAGAGACAGAGACAGAGAGAGAGTACGGTGGAAATTTCGACGTCAGACTTATAATAATGGCGAGCGATTAAAATAGAAAATGGGACATGTGTGATCAGAAATAAGAGTCGAGAAATGTGGCCAGCAGTGTATTGATGTAAGTGGGATGAAAGAACGAAGAGATTCATGAGAAATATTTGGCGAGATTCATTTAGCAGGAGTCGGACATTGAATCATTTATGACTGAATTGGACGCTGTTATTAATAGAAGAATGCTATCGGCGAGAATTAGATTCCTTTGTGCTAACAATGGCGGCAAAAGTTATACAAGACGAAGAACTAATTTGATGAATTCTGGATATAATATAATAAACTTCACACAAAGTTTTTAGGGTCTTATATATATATATATATATATATATATATATATATATATATATATATGTGTATATATATATATATATATATATATATATATATATATATATATATATATATATAAAAGGAAGAGTTTATAGTAGTTCCAATGAGAGAAAAGTGTATATTAAAAGAAGAGAGAAACCAAAAATGTTTTTGGTTGTAATATGGATTATTTAAAAAAATATTATGGTCTATTTTCTATAATTTTGCTCCAATTTTGTCCAAATATGGAAAATAAAGCATAATAAATTAAAAAGAAAATCCACATTACAGCCAAAAACGTTTGCGGTGTCTTTCTTCTTTTTAATATATATTTAATATTTCTTCTTTATATATATATATATATATATATATATATGAGAGGACACAGGGGTCAACACTAGGTGGACAGCATCTATTTCAGGCTTGAACGCTATCTACAAGGTATGAATATTGCATTCAAGCATGAAACAGATTGTCGTCCTTTAGTTTTAACCTCAGTGTCCACTTTTATACTTACATATCGCTGATATTGAGCACTTTCACGCATAAATATAGCATACATAGCTTTAAAAGTATATTTTATCATTATATATATATAATTATTTATTTAAAATATGATTCCATCGCTACATAAGAGTTCTCATGTTTCAAAACAAGAGCCGAAAACTACAATATATATATATATATATATATATATATATATATATATATATATATATATATATTTTTTGAACTTTAAATAAGAGAAAATTATTGTAGATGGTTAAAAAAGTGAGGCTTGATTTTTATTAGAAATTTTTTATGACAAAAAAAAAAATCATTTTTTTTATTTAATTATAAGTAGTTATCCTGTTTTAGCTTTAATTACTGTGGCTTAGAAGAACCTTTGCCGATCAAGCAAGAATGAATAGTTTCTTTTAGCAAAATCGTTTTCGTCATAGATTCCTCGACTATTTTTTATAACTGCTCAGTTTCGTATCCAAACGTAAACAAAGCGACTTCTATAGAAGATTTGGAATTTTATTTATTAATCCGACAGATTTTATCAATTTAAACGTTCTTTTAGTGGATAGTCATCTTTGACTAAACGCTTCTTTTTTTTTTTATTAAACAGTATATTTATTTATTTTCGTCTACATGCCTGAATATTCGAGAAATCTTATTAAAGAAAGATTTGCGCCCCCGTCAGGATTCGAACCTTCGTCTCCCTGCGAAGAGGAAACCGTCAATCCATCCAATATTCTTTAAACGACTCGGCCACGAAGAACCTTTGCGATTAAGTAAGGTTGAAGAGTGCCTTTAAGCGAAATCCTTTTCGAGGAGGGCTTACTTTTCTTTAAAAATAAATTCAATAGTTAATTTATTTTAATCTGCTAAATAAATTATCTTTCTTTTTCTATTATGAAAGTGGGTCCTTATTTTTTGATACAATAAATTTACGTTAACTCTTCCCAACCATTTTCTAATATTTAAATTTTTCATAAAATATTACAAACTTGAACGAGTTTTCAGATAATATTTATGTAATCAACGTTATGTCAGGCTTCGTCAATGAAGCAAATGTTCCTTTTTTAGCAAATTTAACTCAACCTTAATTCTATCGCCTTTAATCTTGTTCCAATTTCAGTTTTTAATCCTACATTAAAAAAAAAGAAGTAAAAAAACGAATGATTCTTTTTTCATTATATCACATATTCTAGCGTTATCGCTACTCAGCAGGATGAAGTCATCTTCACCGTATAAACTGTGGATAAGCTTTTATCCATAGTTTCGATCATTTTTTCCTAAGACACCATCATAAGCGCCCATAGGCACGTTAAAAATATTTTGCTATGCTGCTTTTGTCAGCTGACAAAATTGGTAGATAATCTTTAGATGCTCATTTTTAACCTCCGTATATATTTTACGAGGGTGAGCTGTAAAGCACAAAGGCTCGTGATGCTAGAGTTGTGAAATTTTGCATGCATTAATTTCAACTCTTCTTATTAATAACTACACCGTTTATTTCGAGATAACTGATATACAACTGTTGAAAGAAGACCGCTCATTCTGTTGGTCCAAAAAAAAAATAAAAAATCAACAGTAGATATGAAGTTATCATCTCTGTGATACTGGTTTTCAGCCAAGTATTTTTTAACGTTGGAAAAAAAGATGATAATCAAATAAGGAGATAGGAAGGGTTATGAAACAGTTCAAGGCCACGGTCACGCACAACAGCCATTGAAACCAAGGACTTTTGTGCCGAAGCCGTTGTCCTGATGAAACATGACGCCTTTCGTCTGTTTTCCTGGGTGTTTCATCGTGATAACCTTTCATGATTGCCTCAGCAATTTGGTATGGTACTTGCCATTGATGATGTAGCCCGTCTGAAGATAGTAAACAAAATGCCTTTTGCAACCCAACAAACTTAGGACGCAAGATTGCCTGCAGATCAAACGACCTTAGCCTTCTTTGGAATAGCTGAAGAGGGTTGTTTTCACTGTAAGGATTTTCTCTGACTCAAAGTAATGAAGCAACACTCAGCCTGTGTTAGAAGAGGTTCAAGTAAACCAGCTAAATCTGTCTCAAACACTATTCGATTTTCCCGTGATGTGATCAGCTTGGTGCGCTTTTGATCAGGTCCCAGAAGACGTGACACCCACCAAGCAGAAACCTTCGTCATGCCAAGTTCATTGTGCAGAATATTCTCAACTCTTTCACGGGATATTCTAATAGCATTGTCTATTTGATTTATAGTCAATCGCTTGTCATCCATCACTATGTAGGAAACACAAGCAATGTTCTTTTTTTTCCTGGCTGGTGGCACTTGCAGGATGTACAGACATTACGTCATCTTCAAGACTCTTTCCGTTCCTCCTAAATCCAGCTGCCAACGTTTGCATTATTGATAAAACT